GGGGGGGGGGGGGGGGTGCTCCGGTTCCCCAAATCAGGATGTGATGCTCTTTCAGATGTAAACGTGCCATTTAACACGTACGTTTTCAGAAATAGCCCCTAAATTCAAGAAGGTTTTTTAACCCTTGGCTTGTAAAAACTGTATTTGCTATGAAAATTAAAAACACTTTGTTGTGGCTTGATTAAGATTAGCATCTTTGCCGAAGTGAAGAGAATTCAGCTCCAGTGATATATTCTGTTTTTTCCTCTGTTTTTCCTCTTTTTTTCTCTCCCGGTTTGAGACCAAAATACTCACCCGTTTTCTGACCAAAACGGCCCAGAAGCTGGCCTTTCCTTTTGAGACGAAACATACCAACGTTCCCTAGATGGCGGAATACTTCCCCCAGAAAAATCTTACCACCGCGCATCGAACCCTCGCGATGAACAAAATTAAGTTATTCTCTATTCTTTTGTTCAATAATTTTTCCTCTTTATAAAATCCCCAAGCCTCTTGTATCTGTAGCACTCTTCTAGGCAGTCACTTCATCGCATGGAAGCTATGGAGAGCTTCTTAATTAATCCTATCATGTGTAAGCTTTATTTTGGAAGTGATGTAAAGACCCCCACGCACCGTGATTGAGCGTGATTCTTGGAGATCCAACACGTCCAAGGTTAACCAAAGGAACTGGAATTCTTAGATTGCATCCAGTTCAGACAAATTAGATCATTCCTGAGTAATGAAGTAGCTCAAACTCAAGTGGGACCTCATCTGGGAGCACAGAATACGCCAGAAATGGTCTGAAAGAATTTAATCAATTCAGCGTAACAAATCTGTTGCGTAATGTAGTTGCATTTCATCTCTCCAACGTCAGTCGAGCGTGACCTCATCAACATACTTGATGTCAACAGCTTTTCATGAAACCGCCATAGACTAAATAATTCTATATATCTATATCTAATTTTTTTCTGAAACTTTATATCACGAAGGCAGCCAGCTGTTTCTTTTCTTTTTCCTGTTTGCGGTCAACTTTTCGTTTCCCTAATCGAAAAAACAACTCGAAGAAGAACGATTACAATGGAAAAATCAAAAGGTGACAGCTTTGCGTAAGTAAAAGAGAAATAAAAAAGCCTCACGTTCCCTCTTAGAAAAAGTAAACGCATTGAAACTGAAAAAAATTGACGCTTGTGTTATTGTTCTAAAAGTAAACGCGAATTCAATGAGAATTGCACTGTTGGGGAAAATATATTCATCACCATGCCGCCTACTCTGTAACATTATATCTTCTATATTAGGGTTTGAAAACTTCCAGAGTGTAACGTTTCGGAACAGATGTGAAGTTTATCTCACTCCTAGGCGCACAACATGCCACACACACGGTGGACGAGTCACGCGGGCTGCCACCGGAAATACGTGGGTATGGACGCCCATGTCAACGCAGTCTTATAAATAAGATTACCCCCCTCATAGACACAACAGAAGAGCGCTAACTACCAAGCAAAGATCAACGTGGAAGCTTTGAAGATGAAAATTGTCATTGTATCTAGTTTACTAGCCTTTACACTTTTGTGTATGTCTCAATGTTTTGTTCAGGGAGCATTTATGCCGGAGCATCCACAGACATCCTTTTGCAGGGCGGATTTTGGTGAGCTATTGTTTTTATACAATATACGGTCACTTTAGAAAGCTCAATCGTATCTTGAGTAATTTCATGATTTATGCCACGAAGTAACATAAAAAGGAATATTTTTGCAGAACCAATGGCAATATTTCGCTTGTTGATTTAAAATTGTAACATCAACATCGATATTTCTGAGGAAGATTCTCGAAGATTGACTCAGTATCCGCACTACAGCGCACTCTTACAAGTATTAAAATCGACTATTGGTTCGGTATTGGCGCGAGGACTATTAATCCTAACCGGATTAACAAAGCAAACTATCTTATGGAGAAGGATGTCGAGACAGAGAAACCCTTTGTCACCGTTCTTTTATGAAAGAGCGTTTCGCGGATTTCAACTCATGAGCGCACGTAGTTTCCGCTGTGCATATTCTTAGCTGTCTTTAACACTTCATCTGTCTGCTTCAGCATGTTATTGCATTATGTGTGGAGATTTTCATGGCTAAGGATGGTTCTTCCTACAGTTTAAGCACTAAAGGTTTTCTCATGGGCGTGCGTTTGAACGATACTTTCGCTTTTCCTGTTGGTTGAGCTTCATTTTCCTGTTGGTCGTATAAAACTCCCACGGTTTTGCCTCTCGACCCTCTCAGCCTGCAATTTAAGTACCTTTGAAACACTTTCGATGTGATTCACGATTTCAAGATTGTAAATCAAAATTTTAGTCAACAATTATTATTGCGCTAAACTGATTAAGTCTACTACGCGCAACGGGTGTTTACGAAGAAATCCAAATCGTCTCGGGTCAAAGGTTTTCTGATCACGTCTTCTCCGAAAAGATTCCATTCATAACACTTCTTTTAGAAACGAAAATCGACGCTATCTTTGTTGTTTACTTTTTACATGCATTCCATCACGCCAGTGAATTCCATTTTGTTGTCCTCGTGAAAACATGAAAATGGCAATTTTCCTGTTTCTGTAGTAATTACTTCCTTTTCAGTACAATGCCTTGAGATTAGTCATACTTTGACAAGACTTTGAGAGAGGAGACGATTTCAATCCAATGGAGGAGGGGGAGGGGGAGGGAGAGGAAGTATGATCTAGAGAGGTAGGGTAGGGATGGGAGAGGTTTTAAACATCAACCTCTTTGTGACTAGCCCTATGGTAGACGGACATTAATGTGGAAAGATAACAAAGCAGTCAGTGTAACTAGAATATCCTTTGAAAACAGGAAAGGATTGCGTCAAACCTTAACATGAGAAAAAAAAGAAAAAAAAAAAGATTTCGGTGAATTCAGAAACCAAAATTAGAAACCTCATAAACTTCATTAGGTGACCCGAATAAGCTCGAGGTACGTGAAAGGTTGAACGCGGCTCTGACTGGGTAAAACGAAAGAAACCTCTTTCATCTTAAAAGCATCTTCGATCGCAAATTTTCATATCACGAAAAATGGCAACTAGAGAATCGAATAGTGCTTGTCAAAAAAAAATCGGAGAGGTCTTTGAAAAGTGCTCATTAGCTCTTAATTAAGATCTGTTTTAAAATTATAACCAATGATTTATATAATGAGACAGGATCAAATTCACATTTGTTATTTTAATACAAAGAGGATTAAATAATCAATACTCAATAAGGTATCTGCCTGACAACAAGCTTTTTTCTAATGACTGACAAATTTCCTTATACGTTCCTCACAGGAGCGTCTTATGCGGATTTTTCTTATATGCAGCTTCTGGTTCGAGTGATACAACCGCTTATTAGCTCGCTAATTCATGATCTCTCTTGCGATCAGAAAACAATCCAAACCCTCTGTAAAACACTTTTAGTCAACTATGCATAATTTCTTTTTACAGTCGTTCGAGTGAAAGTGCTGGGAATGATCAAAAGGGACGACGAGGTACCCACAACGCAAGCTTCAGCGGGTGATAAGTTTACGCTTCCTCCCACGACTGAGACGCTTGTAGCGGATACAGACGCCCCAGAAACGAAGACTGCTTCCCCTCCGAGGGTTCAGAAAATTGGTGATTTACCGCCACAGAGCAATAACAGCGATGTTGGGTCGCTTCTAGGTTTCATCTTTGCCCGGCACAAGCGAAGTATCGGGATACGAGGTGCCCCACCTCCTGGAGGAGAAATGCGGTACCGTCCAATAGGCGGAAAAGGCCGCGACAAGGGAATGATGTACTATGATGTTCTAATAAAGAAAATCTTCAAGGGTGAAGACAGAGTGCGGAGAACCAAAAGAACTTTTGTTGATGCCGCCAATCCATCTCGATTGTTTGCAAGGATTTACTTCTCCAGTCATCACGGTCAGGACCTGGTACCGGGTGATGCTTACATGCTTTCTGGTAGAATCATGGGTAATGAATTGGTTCTCCCATCGCGAGGCTGCTGGATGCAAAAATGGCGTGACCTGTCCAGAGATCAAATTCACGGTCTGAGTAAGGTCTATGCGGAAAACTGCGAGTGCATGATCCAGTTTTGCATTCCTGGTCGTTGTGCATCTATGCCTGAGTCTCAGTTGCGGTGTAACTGGGAATTGCAAAACTTTAGGCAACCAAGAAGGGATTGTGGAGCAATGCACAACACATGCGTCAATAAACATGGTCAATGCCAGTGGAAAATAGGCAAAGGATATGATTCTTGTACAAAACCCTCGGAACCTCTCCCATAAGACAGAAGACGGAAGGATTTTCTCGGAGACTAAAGTACTTTCGGGATCTTTCCCCGCACAGTTTTACGTCGCTGTTTTTGCGTAACAAGGACTTGTAGAGAGGAGACCGTGGACGCGACAAAGAAATGGATAATAAACAAAGAACGCCAGTTAACTTTCTAGTGTTTGCTCTAGTGTACAAATATTTCTCAGACTGAATGGTCCTCGTTAGCTGTAGAAGAACGACACACACGCTCATAGTTTTAAGAAGAAACCTCAATAATTTCCATTCACTTACAACCACATAACCTTGAGAGCCAGCCGCTGTTCAGGAAATGAGCCAGCACTGTTTTTTTCTCTTTTCGGAAAGGAACAAAACCCAGACCAGAGAGAGCGGAAGAAAATTCAGGTAGACGATCAATTCTCTTTGTAAAAAGGAACCTTTCTCACACCCTTGTGGGTTATATCCCCGATTACCATTCGCTCGCGCGTGTTTGGTCTGAGGGTGTCAGGTCATGTAACTGGGTGATCTTCAGTTAAAAGAGAAGATTTCCCAGGCGATCGGTATACCCAAATTGTTAGATTAATCACCACGGAAGCTGTCATTAAAAACTAAATTGAAGAGGGGAGTACATTTTATTGTTGAGAGATGAACCTGCTTGATGATAAAGTCGCACCAGAGAACACTTAGAAAAGTAAAAACAAAAAATAAAAATAAACGTTTTCTTTGAGTGTACTCATGGGTAAAGAAAAAAATTTTAAAAGCCTCCTTTTGGCTAAAAAATTAACCAATATTCTTCGCTCCTAGAAGACATAATGCTCATAAACAAATATAAGAGGATATTTTCGCGTCAAATGGAGACCATTATTTATTTATTGTGCGAAATCTGAGCTAAACCTTCGTAAGGAATAAAGTGACTCTAAAATCAAGATGATCCCCCAAGGTATTGCTCTCGTTTGTTCCCTCATATCACATTCTCGAAATGTGTGTTCACCCGAATAATCGTCTAGCTGACTATTTCAGGAAAAAAGGTATTCATGCCAGACTGTCTCGCACAACTAACGTACCTTATCCAGTTTTAGGTTCGATTACATAAAAGATATATGAAACAAAAAATTGGAGAATTGGTCAAAAATAATTCATGTTCATTAGCCCCTGTCAGTCAAGAAGCCTGTTCATCACTTGCTTTCCCTCACTTAGTCTCTCCCCATTCTTCTCACCCACTAAAATTGCTAGCTACTCAACCCATTTGAGGAGTGCTAGTCCAATTTCTTCGCTCAGTCCTTTCAGTCAATCATAACAAGTTGGTTGTCTTTTGCACTTCAAAAAACTTAGAGGTTACGAAATCTTAGTGGAAGAATTTTAAAAGCTCTGCTCCTCCCTTATTGTAGGGGCCGGCGACAGCTAATTTAGAATTTCACAACACCCAGCCCCACAGTATTCTTCCAAGAGAGGCTCTTATGATTCTTTTTATCAAGAAAGGTTAAAACTAAGAAACTGAATCCCACGTGTACGGCAGGCAGCCATCCCAGAAATGATTCCTCTGAGAAAAGAAATATACTTCGGAAATCATATGAATTTTCATATCTGCCTAAAAAGGTGTTTGTTAAGTTCAAACTCTGACCGTGTTTTGATATTCCAAAGAGTGACCAAACCTTTTAAAACACGAGTTCAGACGTAAGCTTAGAACGCTCCGCACTCTTTCTTGATTCGAACCAAAGGGTGAGCTAAATAAAAACAAGGAGACAGCTATGGGTAAACTGCACCACTTTGGCAAATAATTTGCTATCGTAAACATGGGAAATCTAAGTGAGATGAAGTTTTTCGCAATTTCTAAGGAAAGTTCGAAGTTTCTGAGACCGAGACCTATACACATTGTTTTTCCAAACTCGACCTACTTTGTGCCAGTTTAAATTCTCGTGCTTTTTTAACGCTTTTCACGGCGGCGAGATGACGTCGTCCGCAAGCTTTGCCGTGCTGACAGTAGTTATTCGTTGTTGTGTTTATGGTGGAGTTGCCAATAAACACCGAGGGAAATGCGTTGAAAAAGGAAAAACCAGAGCCTTACAAGAAATTTTTGACGATAGCAGGTCTATGTTTACAGCGGACAGTAGACTGTGCAGCAAAGGTAGGAAAA